GCCACCTTCTGAGCAAAGGTTAAGTAAGTACAAAGGCACAGACAGGCAGCGGGGGGGCGGGGGGGGGGCGGGAGTGGGCGGCACTGAGATTGCGTGCCTTCAGTCAGATCTTCCTTGAAGAATGTCTATATGCTAGGCAAGGTGTGAAGCGCCTGTCACACAGCCAAAAATACGATCCCTGTCACACTTTATAATACAGATGCTAAGAATTTAAACAGAGGACTGTCACAATCAGCTGTGTTTCAAAACAGCCACTCCAGGGTGGAGGTGGAGGATGATGACGTCAGAAGAGACTGGCGCTGTAGGAGCCCAATCGCGGCTGCTGCAATAACCCAGGTTAGAGGTGACAAGGGCCTGAGCTGAGAGAGAGACCCTGGGCTGGAGGAGGCTTGTCTGGTCATGAGACAGACCCAACCAAGCTCACCCACCACGCAGCCTCTGCTTCCTTGTCACGCGGCGCCAGCGGTTACAGGGCCCACCCTCGCACTGAGCTGGAACTAGCCTCACTCTGACTTACCATTTTGGGGCCTGGCTGTGCATTCTGGAGAAATTCAGACATGACAGGTCTGAAATGCTGGGTCTGTGTTCATGCGTGATTGCCATCACTGAAATTCAGATAAATTATTTATAGTCCTCTAACAACAAAAAAGAGCAGTAAGGTCCTACATTCCAAATGCTCCCTAAATCTCTTGCCTTAAGCATCCATCTACAGGAAGAGAGGTAAAGGAGAGAAGGTGATTTTTTTAAAATCCTATTTTTTTAAATCTTGATCTTCATAGATGTTTGCTAGGTTTTGAAGTCTTTGACTTTATACATTAACTCCTCTTCTGGCTTTTTAAACTCAGCACATAGGGGAAACTCTGCCTTCATTCAAGAGAATAGTCATTCCGCAGGCACCTAGACCTCTGCTCAATGGCCAGCATTTTCCATGACCAAGGGGCAGGAGGGCAGAAGTCAGCTGTTAGTGGTTCAACAATGCCGCTCTCTGCTTCCACCTTAGGAATTCTACCTCCTGAACCTACCACTAGAGTAGCCTATGATTCTACGAATTTTGTTGGACTTTTATCTACAGTTTTGGAAAGTGTCCTCTGGCCCAGTCCAATCTACACCGCCAGGGCAAGATGGTGCACGGAGGCAGTTATCCCTACCAACCGTGGGCCCTGGGCAACCAGAAGGCTGGTGTGTGCCAATGATGCTTTTCTATTGAGGGAGGCCAGGAATTAATACACTACCGAGTTTTGTCCAGGAAACTATAATTTACATTTTTATGATAAAAGTTTTCAATCATACATAAAGAGTAAAATGAACTCATAGTATCTTCTTTCAGATTTGACATTATTGACATTTTGCCACACTTACTTCATCTATCCTTTTCTTTCATTCTTTTTCTTTCTTGCCCCCTCCCTCTCTCCCTTCCTTTCTTGTCTTCTTTCCTCTCTCGTTTCCTTGCTGTAGTATTAAGCAAATCTCTTACATCATGTTGTTCTCCTCTTACATTTCATAGTAACTCTTAAAAAAAATTGTATTCTATAACCACAATACCAATATCACACCTGACCAAATTACTAATAATTCTCTAGCATCATCTAATACCTGGTTCCCAGGGGAGTTGTAGAAGTCCTAAGTCTTCTTTACTCAGCTTAAATTTTCATCCTATTACTACATATTATACCATCACACATCATGCTAAATAATTAATCTCCTTTTCTAGTATTTACACATTTTAGGTATTTGTATACACTTCTCTTGTTTTCTCTTAGTCTTTGCTTGGCTGAGCTATGCGTATTTAATTCTTACCAGCTTTCTTTATTAATCAATGCCATCAGTCCCTTAATCATTTTGGAGCTTTCCTTTGAACATCGTCCAGCTGGTTTCCATAAACCCAGTGATGAGTAGCCAGAAGCAGATGCAGTGTTCCAAGGGCCGTCTCCCCACTTCTTCTCTGAATGCTCAATCCCAAACCACAAGAGCCTGACTCTCTGTCACATTATAACAGAAACAAATGTCTTGTTTTCTGCTTTTATTTCCAGTTATTTTTTTGGCATTACAGCATGTGTTTCATTCCTCCCACTAAACATCTGTGCTTCAGATCACTCTTCTCCAGATGTAATAGAAATAGCCTTTTGGAATCAGAGATCCAGCTCTGCCACTCCCGCTATGTGACTCTTGGCAAGTTACCTAGTACTCAAGGCCACTTCAAGTTCTTCACCAAAGTAAGCTGGAGACTGATCCTCCCTACTTCACAGGATTGTTGGCAGGTCAAGTAAGATGATGGAAGTCAAAGGGGTTTACTGACTTTAATGGTGTGTGTGAGTCTACGAAGTAAACTTTAGTACACTTAATACACAAAAGGTGGCCATCTGCATTCCCTCAAGTTTTATTCTATTTGCATCAATAAATAGCCTGTTGCATCAAATTATCTTTGCTATCAGGAAACTCTTTGTTTCATTTAGCTCAATTCTTCCTACCAAAATCATTTCTTATAAACTATTTTGGAAATGTATACTTTGAATCCATAAACCACGAGAATTTCAGATTCATTCTTCTCTTACATATAAATCAGGTATGTGGTATTTGCTTTTGTTTACTACTTGTTAAGTTCTAAGAATTATGCTAAACACTTTACCTGAATGACTTAATTTAGACTTCATAATTTTATGAAGCAGACATTATTATTATCCCCGCTTTACAAATGAGGCAATTGGCAATTGGGGCTTAGGAAAGTTAATTAACTTGCCTGAGGTTAACAGCCCATGATAAGCAGAACTTAGAATATCTACAACTCCAGCGCCCATGCCCTCGACCACGGGCATGGTCGAACCTTTGAAAAAATGATTGGGAACCCCTAACTATAGATTAAATTCAACAAAATTACTGCAGACTGGACTCTTTGGAGAGAGGCGAAAAAGCATGGTTCTTTCTAGGAGGCTCACTGTTTGGTCCCGGCAGAACTCACAGCTGTAAAAAGATGGTCGAATAGGCACTGTGGTTGTCATTATCACAGAACTACACCCGCTACCCAATGGTCGAGAAAATGCTATTCATACCAACATTCAGATTTATGTCTTTTAAGAAAAACTATTTGATGGCCATGGTTAATCACTTTTTCTTCCAATTCCCTGGCCCTCAACTGTATAATAAGTCACTGAATACCATCCATTTTCCTTTTAAAGAGTCTAGTCAAACGTCCATTATCTGATAATACTCTAGTTGGGAGGGTTTTTTTATGACTGCAATCCCAGATCACCGCACCAGACTCGGTTCTCACTGGGACCCTCCGCCCTGTATTTCTGCCTCTTCAGTTCTTGCCACACGACTGCCAGGTTCCCCTCCTAAAAGTAAAGTTTCCATATGAATTCCTTAGTTTCGGCTTTCACGGTTCCTCGTGACCTAACGCCAATCCGCCTTTACAGCCACACACAGGCATGAATGCTCCTCCCCATGCGGACCCTTGGCCTCTTCCCCGAGAGTGTGCCCGCACGCCACCACCTTTGCCGGAGCTCTTCCCCCGGCCTGAGGCTCCTTCCTCTCCTAAGTCTCTCAAGGTCATCTACTGTCCAAGGCCCTCCTCCCTGAGGCAGCTGCCCTGATCGGAGTTCTTCCTCCTCCATTCTCAGGGGCTCAATAGAAGCTTGCAGAAATTATCGCTCCATTAAACATCACTAGCATTTTTGGCAATGTGACTCACTGATACTTAGGTATTGTCTTGCACAATTATTTCACCTTGATAAATGCTCATTTCTTGAGTTCCCACCTAAAGTACGTGAAAGCTTCTTAAAGGCTGGACTATGTCTTCAAGACTTCGCCTGCCATACGTTGTTCCCCCATGCAAAGGATTCTTTGACAATTGAGTCATTTGGAATCAAATCATCCAGTTTAGTCATCACCTTTAGATCATATAGCCAATTGTATGAGCCAAAAGATTATGAAAGATTTAAGATATCTGACCTTAACCTGTCCTTACTAATGCATTAATTTCGACTTGCAAAACGTTACTTTTCTATGCCCTGTCTCACCTATAATGAAAGAATTAAAAATCAAATGTCAAAGCACCTTGAATATATGTATACTGACTTATTAAATACTTTGTCATTAGTCAATGAATCAACAGATTATTTTCTAAGGACACAGAATTAGCTGTAATGTTATGGTGTTGCAACTCATTTTAACTATACTTTGTGTACAGAAAGTTCCATTTCTAGCAAAAACAGTGGACAAAATAACCACAAAACCCCCACAACTATATATGCTGGGGGGAAAATATTAAAGCATTATTAAGTTTATGCTTCTACTTAGGATGAAAGCTTTAAAAGAATGTCAATATCATCTAACAGCAAGAAAACCTAGATCACTTCCTGAGCCAATCAGAGAGCTGAGGGTGTGTGGTAAAATAAACTCAGAGGAAGAAACATGAATTGTTTCATTTCTGGAGCAGGACGGAAGGAAGAGGCAGTCATCGTGAAAGCAGGCGAGATGGAAACAACTGATATTGTAAAGAAATCTTAAAAGGCCACGAATGACAGATCAGACCTTCGGAAAACCCTCCACACAAAGGAAGTCACCTCCTAGTTTCCAGGCCTGGGAATACATAAGGCACAGATAGTTCTTTTAACATTTTGATTAAAATGGGGAAAAAAAGTTGGTCCTTAAATACCAGACTCTTGGGAGAAAACTAATTTGTTTTTGGATGTATCTTAAAATTTTAAGAGCGTCATGATCCGTTTTAGCTGCTTATGAGAGCTATGAATAATATTTTAAACAAATTTTAAATATTCATACTTAAATCTGACAATTATAAATGGTGAATTATTAAAATTAGTCAATTTAGTTAGCACAAATAAAAAGTATATAACTAAAGGTAAAAAAGAAAAAAACAGTCCATGAAAAATACTTCTACCAAGTATTTCCTGCATAAATAACTCACACAAATTTATAAAGAAACCATAGATGTTTATTTATATAAATGAATAAAATACACACAAAAGTCACACAAAGGAAAATCAGAGCAGTTTTAAACTCTCTCTTATACTTACTGAATTAGCAGCAACAACATATTAAACCCCCCACCCCGAACTTGTAGCTAACTGGTAATACTCAAGTGGTGACAGTAAAATGTTCCATCGCTTTGGGAAAGCAAAAAGGCAAACATATTAAGAACCATAAAATTGTTCATATATCCCACTTAATAATCTCACACTCAGGAATTTACCCTAATAAAATTGAAAATAACTTGTGTTCAGTAAGAAGGAAACAGTTTAAGTAAACTGAATATGAAGTCATATAATTAACATAATCATCAAACTAATTACATCAGATAATATGAAATGAAAAAACAGTCAATTCAAAAGTATAGATGTCTTAGACCGTAATTATGTAAACAAAAGGAAAATAGTACTACAAAATTCAAGTTCTGAAGTCACTGCACCAGGATTGTGAGGATTATGGGTAATTTTTTCATTTGGCAAAATTTTCTTCCATGTTTTCAGAGCAATAAGAAAATATTCCATGTTTTCAGAGCAATAAGAAAATGCATAGCAAGAATTTTAGCAATATATAAGGAAAAGATTGGTTACTATTTTAGTCATTTGTCTAGTCAAATAATCTCTATTCTTCTCCATTAGCAAATTATGTGTCAATTTTTAGGTTGAGATGTAGCGCAGAAATGCCCCAGTTGTTTTCTAAGACCTAGAATATGCTCTGTATGGACCTTAGCCATCAGTGCATGAAGACACGACCTACCCTGTGCAATTCCAGGGGATGGGCAGCCATTGAGGCCACGTTTGGTTGGCACACTCCACAGGGCAGTAGATGTGAATGAGTAAAATTGTAAACTTTGAAACTTACGACTTTGTCTCTTTGGCATTTGATGTTAATACCTCAAGACATCAAACTCTTTTCCTTACATTTCCCTGTGTCGTACTAAGAATCATTTTCAATATTTTCGCTTCAAATGTGTTGCCAAGGGGATGAAAATGCTCTCCTGAAGCATATAATTTTTTATATTAAGTTTCTAATAGGTTAACCATAAATAAAATCATGTTAGTTTTCATAGTGAAATTTTTCAAGGTAGAGAGGTTAGGGTTAGAAATGCAATCCATAAAAACCTAAAAGCTCCTATGTCATGAAAATTTTAATGATTCTTCCTTTTGAAACTATATTTATTGAATAAATAAAGGACAAACATTTCTATACACTGGATGCCTAATATATTGCTTTCCCATAACAAAAACAGGAAGCACTCATTACATATGAAATTTACTACTTTGTAATGTAACTATGCTTTCAAAGTAAACAAGGGAGATAAAATTTTCAGTAGGCCATGTAAATGAAAATGTTTGCGAATAGCTGTTTTTAAATATTTAGAGCAGAAAAGATTAGCTGGAAATGCACAGGGGCTATCTCAGAGTCTATAAATATCATTTGAAAGAGCAAACTAAAGAATAATGCCCTAAAAAGGTATAAATAAATATTAAAGAATAAAGAAATTTTTAATTGAAGATACATTCTTCAGCTTACTTTTAAAAATGTGTTATTTATCAGCTTGGTACAGGGTGGTCGACTCTGTTGAAAATATCAGGAAAAGATCTCATAGCTGCCAAATACAAGCCACCAGGCTGGCCTTCGCGCTAAGGGCAGAGGCGCATTCAGTCTTGTATTAACATCTCTTTAGCGGTAACAGCAAAACTTTGGTTCAATTACAAATATTTATTATAAAAGTTTATGAGTGTCCAAGATCTAAACAAACACAGCTATTACTAAATAAATGCAGCCTTATCAAAGAAACGTTCTTAATAATCGCAAATTCCCCAAAACATAAGAAAGAGTTAAATAACGGCCTTTTCAAACATAGTTAAAGAATTTCAACATAATAGAGCCACCAGAAAGCCAAAATAAAGTCAAAGTAACATTAATTTACATTAACTTTTGTGATGCCAAAGAAAGACGGAGCTCATATGTCTTTCTTCTTTGATTAGAAAATGTGTTCAGCTTTTTCACAGGAAAAGACTTTGAAGCAAGATCAAAATCAGAAAGTTGATGTTCCTGTATCCAATCTAACAACATAATAATATCCTAAAAGGACATTCCACAATATGGTGAAGAACTGAACTGCAAGGCTATTTATAATGTATAGCAGATAAATTGCACACTACAGAAACTGTAAATGACAGACATTTTTCTTCATCCAAAAAAAAACAAAAAAAAAACAAAAAAAACCCCAAAACAGTAGTTTGTCCTTTGCAGGTAGCTTGGTAGCTTGTATACACAGGATTCGAATGTCAACCAAGAAATGATGAATCACACTAATCTTAACATGCCTTAATTACATCATCTTCTCCCTTCTTCTCATCTAGAGTTATATATTCACAGCTCAAAACTTGTTCATTAGACTCCTCAGGTTTGGACTTTTTAAGAGCCAACTCTGCTGGGAGCAGAGATGAGCAATGCTCGAGAGACTGTGCAATGTCATCGATTGTCCACTTGTCCTCAGGAAGGGCATGCTCTTCGAGTGTGAATGGTCCCTGTTTGGTTCGGGTCAGTTCTAGTACATTGGCACAGGAAGACAGTTCTATGGCAACAAAAGGTGAAAAGAAAATCCACAAGAGAAATGATTCAATATATCACGGTTTATAATGTTTCAGATGACAGAGGAACTGAATTCAAACCTCTCAAAATCACCCCAAATGTAAAACTGTAATAAGAACCAAGAGCCTTGAGATTCAGAAATGGTTAAACAGAAAAATAATATTTAATAACTCACCTTATAAGCTGCTTTCAAGTCTACATGGAACTTACACACACTTTTCTCATTTAACTCACGAAGCAACCCCATGCGGTAATCATTACTCTCCCCTCACAGAGGAGGTAATATGACCTGTCCAAGTGTCACAACTGCCAGCAAATGAATGCTGGAGCCAGGGCCGCAACGCACTGGCTCTTTGTAAGACCGTGGCTTCCAGTTTTTAAAAAATTTGACTCGTACCCATGAAAATAACTTTTGGAAGGATATGTCTTTTTTTTCTGATGTCTACTTTGGTATAAATATTTTGTACTGGAAAAGAATGTTGACCCTCCCATTCATTATTCCCATGTTCATTTTCTGCCCCTCCCTCTTCTCTCCCATTACAAGCATCTCACGGCAGCTGCTGATGCTGATAACTGCCTGCCATAAACCTGTAACGCTTCCGAAGCTGAAGGCAGCAAGAATGCCGTTCGTAAGGCCAGTACTCGAGATATGACAAATAAAAAAGTCCCTCCTCTCATCAAAAAAGGAACAGTACTCTCTAAATAATAATTCATAATTCATCGTTTTGCTTACCTTTGCCAATGTCACTGACCAAGCTCCTGATATAAAAACCCCCTCCGCATTCAACATCTGGAATGTTAACAGTGACATAGTAAACTGCCAGCCTCCTATGAAATCCACTTTACATAGAAATGATGCCTCTAAACAAATGTAAAAATGCACTATGCAAACAATCGAGCGATAAAATATTTATACACTAAAACATAAATTATTCATCCGGCAGCATATGTGTTTGTGAGATTGAAAAGTCAGAGCATGGAGAAAGCAAACAACAGAAACTCAGGAACACATTTTAAATTAACTGGCAAGTCACACCACTTCAATACTGCGGCCTTGTTCCTTTAAGAGTCTTTAAATAGCAATCTCATCTTTGCTCTCAGGAGCTGAAGATTTTAAAAAATAGTTTCAGATCTTGACACCTTATTCATTTAATAGGTTTTAAATGGTTAGACATCTCAGCTTTGCTATCATGAGCTGTGGATTTTTAAATATATTTTTCAAATTTGTACACTCGACAAATACAACAAGCAAAAAAAACAAAACAAAACCTTTTCAGGGACAGGAATTACATTTGGGGTGAGACTACATGGAGAGCTCAGCACACTTAAACGTTCTCTTAAAAGTATCCCTGAAGAAAGCATAAAATAAGTAAAGTTATACAATGTTTCCAAAGTAAATGCATAGCTAAACATCTCCTTAACAAAGAATAACACCAGTTTATTGGTTAAGAGCAGGGCTCTGGATTATTTTTATTCATCCCGAAGACATCCGAACTTTCCACACAAAAGGACTACATTCCAGCTGTTTCTGGTCATAGCATACAAATAAAGCCATTTAAGGGAATTAACCAAAACTGACTACCTGGGGATTTTTCTGGGGTTTTTTCCATCAGCTCAAGGGTGGGGGCCACAGCCAAGGTAGCAAAATGAGCACTGGGATGAAATATAAGCGTGCTTACACTCCAGCAGGCTATTTGACTTGGGTGAAAAGACAACTCTTTTGGCCGATCACAACCTCCAGTGAACAAAATAAAGTATTTACAGCTTAAATGCAATGGAGAGAACTTCCATAGATAATATCTACTGCGCCAACCCAGCTGCTGCATTGTCATGAAATGGAACAAAATATTTTTTATTATGTTTCTCATTATTTGTCTAACATTTTAGAATCAGGAAACTAAAGAAAAGGAGTGAATTCTTTTTTTCAATCGTACAAAAACCATACTCTACAGGACCTTAATATACATTAGATAATACATCAAAGGCACAAAGTTTAGAAAAAAAGGCTTGAGGAAAGTAAAGGAATCCTATTTAGTATGTACCATGACATTATGAGTAGGATCAACCTAAGGAAGCCTAAGAATTCAGAAGAACTATAGCTCGTATACGTTCAGGGCTTCAGCTACTACTTTCTGCAGGTAGGAGATCATAAAATTTCCAAACAATCAAAAAAAATTTTTGGTTGTTAAATTTATTCAACAAATTCAAATCGATAACCTGAATTAAAATTCACCCCACATCCAAGAATACATTTTTGCCTTACGCGTTATTTCCATATTTTCATAATCTTTAACAATAACTTGCCGGTAAAAAAGAAAATTGGGGGGAAAAAATCATTCCACTCCTAGATTTCTTGTCCAAAAAAACTAATAATGCTTTGTAGCGAGAAGACAAATTAACATGAATTTTAAAATATTATGTAAACTATGAGATACTAGCCAAGATGGGGGAACAAGTATCCATAAGTTAATAAAATTTAAAGTATGAAATTTTGAAAATATAGACTCCTTACCTACTTTTCTCCACTGAGATCTAAGGTATAAAAACTCAGCCTATTTAGAAAGGCGTTTCTGAACCTCCAGCTGTAGGTATTCTCAGTAAGTGTGTTATCAAAAAGGTATTAACAAATCCGAACCTTAAATTTGAATTTTAAAACTCTCTAATACCCTAGAGATCCATTAAAATTACACACAATTAACCGAATACAAAATAAAGGTACATTGTAAATACAAATGATTTCAAATCTCTCACTCTTACCTAACGTGAAAAATGGCGGCTGGAATTTCTGAAGGGAGAGACTGTACACAGTCACTGGCCTGGCGGGTTTGGCTTCTACTGCTTCACCTCGCTTCATCAGAGTTGAAAGTCTCTGTCCGTCTTTCTTTAACGCGGAGTAGCTTGTGAGATGAGAGCGGGAGAGAGGAATTAGGGAAGAGTGAGAGAATAATTCCAGACTACAGCACAGCAAGGGCGCCTGGCAGCCCTCTAAGTGGAAAACCCTTCCCCAAAATGAACGAGTTATCTCTTTTAACCTACCCCACCACGGCGTCAGGAACAGCGCTCCTAAATATCCTGGAGCAAAGAGAGCTCAGTCTGCACCCAATGAGCAACCTTGTCAACTTCATTCTTTAACCATCTTCCTAGAGATGGTCTATTGGTGTCTTTTAGACCTGATTGAGGCTTAAGGGCACAGGGCCTCTCTGGGCTCGAGGATCTCAGCTATATTTCCTTGAAACAATTTCCATTCTAATAATATTCATTTTCATGTAAAAGTTACCAAAATGATTCTGAAAAGCAAATAAGCAAATAATCTACTTAACAGATCTTAGCTTCAGGCGATAAAATCTTATTAGACCACAAAATCCTTGGAACAATCAGAGAAAAAAAATTCGATAACAGTTCTTATAAATATAAATATGCTTAATTTATTTTAACAATAATCATCCAAAATAATGTTTACTCATCTCCTGCTAAAATTTTTAAACCTTTACCCTCGAGGTAAAATTATGAAGAAACACTTTCCCATAGCTATTTCAATACTGAAAACACCTATTTTTATATACAAAGTAAATACTAAATTCTAAAAGAGTCATCAATACCTTATCCTGACACAACATACAGCCAGTCATTTTTTAAAAGAGTGATTTGTCTGAAATAGCATTGTGCACGAAAAATACGGCTCAGTGGCAAATCAATACCCTTATACTTTTAATAAGTTCTAACTCTCATCTGAGTGAGAGAATTGTGAAGCCTAAGATTCTGAGCCCAAAAGGAACGGTCTCAAGACCTGAAAGGAAGGACCAACTGGGCTCTGAACTGCAACTTCGACACCTACACCAGCCTGGACCAGTCTCTTCACAGCGGTTCTGGGAAGTGACATCGCTTTGCTCCCAAACCGCCCCGACGTCTGGGACGTCTGGAGGTAGAATCAGAAAACGGGATGAGCACAGAAGAGCGAAGGTATCGGGGTGTGGCGACACCCAGGCCCAGCGGACACCGCAGCGCCGCGCCGAGGCCGCGTCAGCAGCCCGGCCTCCTGTCCGCAGCAGGCTCGCCTTCCCTCGGTCATTTGCTAGGTCGAATTTAAAGCCTGCCTCAACGTTCATAAAAAGGCATTTTTTTTTTTCATTAAAGTGATGTTATCCATTGGAAAATAAAATTAAAATAAAATTAAGTAAAATTAAATAAATTTACTCAAATTCAATACTTAAACTTACAGGGGAGGCACCTGCATTATATTCCCAGTAAATTTCTGTAAAATGCCTTCAATATCTTCTTGTGTTATTTTATCTGCCAAAATGAACACAAAAAAAGTGACACTAAAACAACCACAGAAGTACATGCATTTGCACAGCACCAAAGCTCTGAAAAATTCATTACAAATTTCTCCAACCAAAGCGTATACTCTAGTGTATGTTTTATAGGCCAAATTCAATCTTTTTAAGATGAATAACATAGATACATATTCATGAGATAAAAGGGGACAAAGTCTTATATTGTCTAATATTAAGACTAAATTTACTTCGCCTCCATTTTTTCGCCAATAAAAATGATTCAATCATCTCAATGCATTTAGTCAGTTCTTACCAATGGCCTTTAGAAGACCTTAGAAAATGTTGCATTAGCTACAGAAATGGTCCTGCAGTGACCAAAAATAAAGTGATCAGAAAGTAGGAAAAAACCCGTAAGTTATTTTCTAAGTTTCTCCAGGCATCAAATATTATAAATAACATAATGCAATAATGAAAATTATCAAGTATTAAACACATTTAAAATTTTACTGAATAGATTTCAGAACTGTTCTATGGTATGGTATAATTTTTACACACTCGCATTTAATTTCGTCTCCAAGCACAGTTGTATTTATGTGTTTCCTTTCCTTCCTTTGCTGCTCTTGCAATTTCTCTGTTCTTTTAAATGAACATTCTCAATCAGAAGTCTGGCTTTCATCTCAAAAATAAGCCAGAGCAATAAGAGATTACTTACATACATAGCAAGGATTTTAGCATGATTACTAAACATTTTGTAAACAATGATTTTAGAAAATTTGAATGAAGACGTAAATAAAACTTTCAATATCTGCTACTTAGTCATTTTCAGCTTGTTTGATACTTCTTCAAACAAAATGATGCCATATTAATGTACAGTTCTATAATCTTCTGCAACTGAAAATTGTAACACGCTGAAATTTGATATTTGGGATTTTTCAAACTTACAGATAACTATATATCTCATATTCGATAACAAATTAAATTATAGAAATATTCTATAACTTAGCTCATAGTCCATGGAAAGATATTACAATGCTTTTTCACTTTGCAGGAAATTTATTTAAACTTTTTTTCTGATATATTTGATTTTTTTTGAACAATATTAACAAAAAATGATGTGCTTTCATTTACTCTTCTAACACCAGAATAAAAATTAAAAGACAGCAGGGAATACTGTATCCAGATTTCAATACCAACCCAGCAAGACAGCCTTAACCTCACTGTGACCTTGATCCTTGCAAGCGAAAAAGGAACAAAAGACCAGAATCCACTACCGTCTCAAACAGAGAAGAGCTACAGAACTGAAAAGAATCTCTCCAACACCTAGCTGCTCCAGAAAAGCAGATCTCAGGCTATTCTGCTCATGCCATTTTTCAAACAGTAATAGCTCATGATAAGGATGAGGGTTTTTTCGTGAAAAAATTTTACTCCACTGCAACATTAAAACGTAATTACTGGTGGCACCTCCGTTATGCAAAACTTCCAAATCCTGACACCATCCCAGCAATAGGTAAAAGAAATGCCATTGTTGATAAAATTGCAATAGTTCATAACTTAGCAACACATTGTAAAAGTAAGAAGACACAGTTTTCTCCCGCCAGGCTGCTCCCTCCACTGCCGTCCCTGCTCTGCGCCTCCTTTGTCCTGCCTGGCTGGCTCTTTCACTGGCGTCCCCCACACTAGAAGGCGAGATGTGCTCCCCTGCATCCTACTTCTGCCCCGGTGTCTCTTTCTCTGACTTAACATCTCAGGCATTTATGGGTTGTGCTGTTCATTCTGCAATTAATCATACGCATTTTTTAACTTTACAATGAAATTCTAAGCTCCTTAAAGGCAAAGACAGCTTCTCTTCTTATATAACGTCCACAATTGCGGTAGCTCTCAAGGCAGTCTTGCTGAATTTAATTCGCGGTGGAATAATAGATCTCAAGGTCAAAGGGGCATTAAAAGTGACCTAGGCCAATCAGTCATCTGATATGTGAATCACCAAACAAAAAGCCTATGCAGAAAGCTATTTTAAAATAAAACACAATAAATGTTATCAATAAAAATGATATTCACCACTATATGACTATGTAGTAGCATGTTGGCTCTATTTAAAACATGTGTTTAGCTCGATCCAAATAATAATAATTGTCCCTGTAAGAATAAAGATTCTACCTCCACAGGATTTAAAAACAAATGGAGAATAAAACCTCCAAAGCAAGTATACCATATAACTAGCCCAAAGAAGTACAATTGGTAAAAGAGATGGGTATGATACAAGTGCCACAGGATTCGGGTAATTATTCTTTGTTTAGCGAATTGATAAATCATCAATGTGACAGTATTCACTGGAAATTAATTTTATAAAGTCATTCTCAAAAAAATTAATTTATACAAGATCATTATTGGCTTAAAATTTATTGACTCTTCCAGTGAACTCACATGATAGTTGGTACTTAACTGAACTCTGAAGTAAAAACAATATGATGGAGTTAAAAACAATCCTCAACCACAATAGAGTAACTGTTACTGGACCAGCTCTGCCACCATAAGCAGCTGTTAAATTGGAAACATATATAATAAACAACTATTTTCAAACATTAAACTACAGGCAGCAAGCACTGTAATACTCCCTGAGAGAAGGGAAAGAAATAAGGTGAAGCCCACAACCACTCGCTTTGCCTGGAGGTGCTTTCTGAACTATAGTGCAGAGCGGGGAATCCCAAACAAAGCCCGTGATCTCACTGAACAGAGAATCGGCAGCAGCTGGAATCTGAGAGGACCACACAGATGTCTACAGGGCTCCAGTCGAGACTTGGCTCAGTTCCAACCTGGACATATATACAGTGAGCTGCCACAAAATTAACCAAAGAACCAGTACCAAAGATGTTTCAATTCCAACCATCTGGAATGAAGAAACGCTGATGAATACCCGAGACATTCACTAAACAGACCCTGGAGAAGCCCTGCTTCAGGCGTGCTAACCTAGGACCTGGCAACGGTCTACGTTAGACCCACCCTAACGGGAAAGCTACACAGAAGTGACTAGAATTAGTGAGTTTAGCAAGATTAGAAGACAAAAGACCACTATACAAAAATCAACTCCATTTCTACATACTAGAAATGAACTTATCAGAAATTAAACATTTTACAAACCTAATTATAACAGCATCGAAATGTGCTGTTATAAGTATCAAAAGTTAAAGATCTGCATATTGAAAAACTACAAAATATGGCTCTATTTTTGTAACTTTTCTCTAAATTTGATAGTATTTCAAAGTAAAAAGAAAAATCATGAGAAAATTACTATAACAGCTTTATACCAGTAAGCTTGAAAATTTAGGTGAAGTGAATAAATTCCAAGGTGAAAAATTATCTAGAATAACAAGAGAAAAAAATAAAAAATTAAGTTCCAACTCATGATAATCTTCCTAACAACAACAAAAACCCTCCAAATGTCTACTAGTAAATTTAACCAACCATTAGAAAAAAAATGCCAATCTGACACAAATTCTTCCAAAGAATAGAAAAAAACAGAATATTCCGCAACCTACTTTATAAGGTCAGCCTAACCCTGATATCAAAACCAGTCAAAAATAGTCAAGGATATTAAGAGAGAAAAATTACAGCATAATCTTCACTCACAGGCAAAGATGCAAAAATCCTAAACTAAATGTTAGCAAACTAAATCCAACAATTTATATAAAGGATAACATATCATAATCAATTTGGGCTTATTCCAGATATGTAAAGTTAGTTTAATATTTAAATAAGGAAAAAAATCAACAGATACAGAATAAATATTTGATAAAATTCAATGTCTGGTCATGATAAAAGAAAAAAAAACCAGCAGCAAATCAGGTCTAGAAGGCAACATCTTTATTTTGATAAAACTTACAGAAAAAAAGAAACCTGTAGGAATAAGGTAGAAAGACTTGTTCTTTCAGATATCGAGGCTTATTCTAAAACTACAGCAATTAGAATAGTTTGGTCTTAGCACAAAGACAGCCAGACAGACCAATGTGACAAAATAAGATTCCAAACACACTCATGCCTATATCATGCTTGATTTGTAACCAAGGACTGGATAAATTATACAAAATTAAAACTAAGAACTTCTTTTTTCCAAAAGACACAATTAAGATAGGTAAAAGACAAGCCACAGAGGAGGAGAAAATATCCTCAACGCATAATAACCAAAAGAAGTACACATATTAGGAATTATATTAACATCTTTTATACGAATCAATATTTTTGGGGGGGGAGAAGGAAACTCAATAGGGAAATAAAAAAACTGAAAAAAAAAAAAAAGAGCAAGAGACCTAGGGAATACATAAAAGAAGATAGTTAAGGAGCCAAAAACATGAATCAAGTGCTGAATTTCATTAATAATCAAATTAAAACCACAATGAAATACCACTATTTACCAGAATGGCCGAAATTAAAAACACTGTTACCATGTGTTGCCAAGGATGCAAGAGGAACACTTATTTATTGCTGGTGGAAATAAATGCAAAAAAAAAAAAAGTTATGCAAGCACTTTAAAAACTACAAATTTCTAGCACAGTGAAATTTCTACTTATGTTATGACTTGGCAATTACACTTGGGTATGCTGCTGTATCCAAGGGGAGTGAGTTCATGTGCCTACCAAAAAAGACCTACAAAATACACACAGCAGGTTTACCCATAAAGCTCCAAACCGGAGTCAACCCAAAACTAGTCTGTCAGTATAGTGTGTGTGTGTATGTGTATGTGTGTTCACACACACACACACAAATCATATATATACACATACATATATATTAACACAATATGGATCGTTCACACAATGGCATAATATACAGCAATAAAAAAAAATGCCAAAATACTGATGCACGTAACAAAATAGATGAATCTCACATAGATGAACAGATGAATTGTACTTATAGAAGAATCCACACACCAATACATATTGTTTTACTTCATTTCCTACGAACTTCAGAAACAGGCCGAACTACACTATTGTTCTAGAACTATCACCACAGTGTTGGCAGTTCAAATCGGGATCTCCAGAACAGTGACTGGAATGGCGCGTCAGAGGGGTTTCTAGGAACCTTCTAGTTCCTGACTAGATCACAGCTGTGTGCATGTTTGCTTTAGGACAGTTCACTGAGCTGTAAATGTGTATTTTCTTCACTTTTCTTTATTTGTGGAATACTTTATAATATAAAGGTTTAAATACAAACAAGAGGCACCATAAGGTAACTGATACCCAGCTACACACGAGCCACCTACAGTGTTCCCTATTTGTTCAAATCACAACTTAAGACTCAGTTCAACTCCCCGACGTCCTCCGGGAGAGCGGGCCGCCACGCCAGCGTCCAGGAGGAGCCGCTCCCATTAACATTAGCAATGCCCACATGAGAGACCTTGGTAAAACCCTGTCTTGGGACTAAGGGGTGGGTGGTGTTTAGAACAGAGCATTAGCATGAAAGACCAATTTCCTTTTTCGTTTCCTGCCTCCCAATAAAAAAGCCACAAGAGGGACAGGAAAGCCTATTCCCAACTCAGGAGCAGGTAGACCTTCACAGAAGCCTAGCCCACCTCTAAGGCAGCCCAGGAAGTCATGTCTAGGGTCCTGACCTAGCAAGGACAGGTGGGCACAACGAAGACATGTGCCCTGAAAGACACAAGCAATTGTACCTGGGGCTTAATGCCCTCCTACGTAAGAGATGTTGGGAGAGGGCAGTGCGCGGAAGCCAGGGCGCCGCTCTGCTTTCCTGGGAGGGGTCGCAGTCCTCTTCCTGCGAGTGCCGCTATCGCCTGTCTTATTTATTCACAGAGAAACTATTTTATTCTGCATGCCACGCGCTGTTCTAAAAGCCAAAAGTACAATGAGGACCAAAAGAGGCATGGTCCCAGCCCCATAGCTTAGGGATTCACATGCAAATACACATTTATAAGTGGTGAAAAACGCTACTTGGGAATAACAGAAGGTGTTATGAAAGAGAATAAAGGAAGGGACCTGCTAATATGGCTGGATCTTTGATCCCACTGAGCCAGAGACTCGTTTTCTTACTCCTCTGAGCTACCTTTCAAGCCACCTAAAATAGTGGCAAATGGAAGCATTTGCCTTGACAGGACACAAATGACTTAAGGGCATTCATTTGCCATTTACTACACATTACCTTAGTTACATTATCCATTCGTCAGTTGTTCTCAACAGTTCAGTGAAGAACTGCATTTTTTTGTTGTTACAACAATTGAATAGGTGATGCTAGATACCTGTAACTGGCACATGGTAGAGCACAGTGAATTGTCCTGTATACCGCGTGACTTTTAGTTGTCTGCCAGATGTTTATGGGGGTGAAAGCCTGTTTATTATCAATCACCTGAAGCTAGAACCTAACTCCATTTTCCACTTAAACACAAAGTGTTTTTCTACTGTTTTTTTCACAAATTGAATTTTCCAGTACTAAGTCATATGACACTCTTCTTATCAGTCTGCATTTGTACTTTTGGCATTTACAATGGTTTATGAATAAGTGTGTAAACATCTCACTACTTCATTAAGACTTCCAGTATAGTAGTATCTGTACATTTACGTACTGATGTGCCATTTTTATTATAAATTACTTTTATTTCTTCTTTATATTCCATTTACTGTATAATACTGATTTTTTAAAAACATGTAGGTAGGTTAGAATATCTCTGAATTTTATTTCAGGACAGTAAAGAAGGCACTGCATAATATTGGTTATAGGTCTCAGTCTTAGGTCCCAGAGGGTCGAGAACCTAGGTGCTAGCTCTCCATAAGACAGAAGTCCCTGAAGGACACTGGCTGGGTTTTATGCTTATTTATTTTCCCTGCGGTACCTGCTATATAGCAGCTTTAACAAATAATAAACATTTGCTGATTTACTGAAATCACACAGAAAAATCATGTCAATCAGCAACATTCTTTCACTTTCTGGAACCACAAATATCATTCAATAAACTGTGAGGACCTTTCCACTCTTAAGGCCTAAAGAACATTAGTTTCTCCACAACTTATTCCAACATTTTAATGAGATGATTTTAACAAATGATGTTGTTTTAAGACAAGCAAATGAGGCTACACATTATACAACAGAGACTAGGTTTTTAAAATTCCAAAATGCTGAAGGGCAGGGAAGAAGGGTATGTTTAAGTATTTTCATCACCCTGGTCCTCATCTAGAATCCCCTACTCAATGAATGGCACCATCGCGTAACCAGTAAAACCTGAAACTTAGGTCGTGGTTGACAACGTCCTCTCCCTCACTACGCCATACAATCAGCAAGTCCCACCAACTTTACTTCTTCACTGTTCTTCTGATTATATATGTACTGACATCGTACCCTTTAGTATATTCTGGGAATCTGATGCTCTCCTATTGCCCTAGGCTTCTTTAATCTTAAAAACCTTCTGGTTGAAGATTACGGTTGTGTTTCCACTAAGTGAGGGTCTGCTATATATTTCCTAATAAAAATATTATCAATAATAAGTCCACATTTCTTTTTAAAATGACTCAAAATAAATTGGTGATTTCTCTTCTGATTATGTTGTTTGATTAATCAAGTAGAATACTAAACTACATATAAATAAATATTAACAGGTCAAGTACAGTGACTATGAATAAGAAAAAGGTTGGTCTCAGTTCTGCAGCAACGTGAAATGTGTAATGAACGAGAACACGCAACACAAAAACATAGGGAAGCCAGATGCTGGACTGCCCGTAGCTAAATTAAGAAGTGATAATATTAAACACAGGCAAAGAAGCAAACAAACAGAAAGCCCATAGATAATTCACAATTGGTGACATGGCAATGTAGGTGAACTGACTGTACGAAACTGCTGCATTATAAATAGCATGAGCACTGGGAGAGTTGCTAGGAAACCATCTCATTTATCTATCCTTTCTTAAAATAGTAAAAAAATAAATAAATAAAAGGAGTAGTAGAAAAATTAAGGTTCTCCTTTATTTCCAGAGAAATAGCTTTCCTTTTTTATGTACTCTAAAAGCAAAGAAACATGACTGGTTTTAAAGCATTAAACCTAGCACATTTATTTCGACAGCTAAGAGGTAAATCTAAAATAAGTAAACAAATAAACAAATAATTGCAAGGCTTGGGTAAAATCTAACAGGAGAGTTTCTCTGTTTCTCATTTACTAGAAAAAATATCCTAAATCCTAGCCTCAAATGTTTTTTTGGAACGGGCATTATTTGGAAGAATTCTGAACACTGTAAAAGTTGACCATGGGAAAAGAGGCAATTATAATAAATCTTTATTAACAAACTCTTGTCAAATAGACAACATAATAAACCATTATGACCTTATTAAAGTAAAAAATGTACTGAAAACTACAATCACTAGTAGTATGATGTTAGAGAATTCTGAATTCACAGAATCTTTTCCTAAATGTTAAACACGAGCACTTCAGATGAACTGCATACCGTAAGGCTTCTCCTCTGTGACCTTCCCAGTAGAGTCTAGCGTGTCGGTAGCTCTCCCCAGCTCTCCAATGGCAATGTACCTCTAGGGGAAAAGCAACAAGGGTGGAACACAGGCCGTAAGGTAAAGAAAAGCCATCGAGCATGTCCTTAAAGTCATACCGAAGTTTACTAACACTACAAACTTGATACAAAACAAAGGCAAACATGATCAACAGCACATATTCGGTTAGCGTTTGGTATGTGGGAAGCGTGTGTGTAAACTGAAGAACATGCACAAATCTCCCACACCAGCCACCAGGACAAAGATAATTGTGGCCTATACACACACTGTTATTGCAAACAGATTTCTAAACCCAGTTTTGGTTTTGAAGAAAAATGCTCACATATACTTATGGGTAGAGAGAATGGTACAATAAACCCCTACGTGGCCATCACAAGATTCAACAATTTTACCACACAGACAATTACAGCTGATTTTAAAATAAATCAATTTACTACTTCTTCTATCAAATACTAAGACTAATCTTTGTAACTTGATCACACGTTTAAACAAAAGCCAAATATATAGTTCTCTGAAGGGAAAAGTCACTTCTAAGCACTGATCATTATTCACAAGTGAAGAATCAGATCACTCTTAGTTAACTGAGGTTTGTTTTACTACCCATGTCAGGGCATACTGTACTACACGCTCATACTCCTCTCATTTGGTCAAATTCAATTCTAAGTGGAGCATCACATGAGATACTGTGAATAATAATGCAAGGAATAGAATTCCCACTAAACATCATCCGTAGCTATGTGAGCAATTTTTAAAAGAAGCAGCTCAAATACAGTTTATTAATGACAAGCTTATTATACTAGTAAAAGGACCAGAGACAAAAATGAAAAAAATTAAAACTTCAAATTCTAATAGGCAAGCACATGTTTTGTATCAGCCTCAGTGCCCTTTTCTGAAATCGCCTTCTATTATATAGCTCAGAGTTTTGTTTTGTTTTGTTTTCCCAACACAATACAGAAGGGAGTGTTCTAATGCATTTCAATGAACTTTTAAAATTTTTCACTAATAATGGCAAAAATGAGTTTCTGTAACCTAACAGTTAGTCTGATCACCTGGAAGGCCCCGCGTCTGCTCCTCTCTTTTGGAGCAGTCAGCCTGGATGAGGCAGGCCCTGGGAGAAGCCGGGCAGGGTGAGTGGGAAGAGCGCAGATGCAAAGGTCTGAACCCGCACTCCACACAGTTGGCCACGTGGGTTAAGTTGGCCTTTCCTGTTGGACCCTTGTTTTCTTTATCTTAAAATGGAGACAATAACAGTACCTCTTGAAAAGAAGTCGAGCTTAGAACAACAGTACCTGACCCTGGTAAGCAATAAAAAACAATACTAGTATTGATACTATATTTTTTTTTAAAAAAAGGTACAGTGATTCACACTAACAGTGCTTAGAGTGACTCGTCCAGTTACAGTGAGTTCCTGTAAGAAACAGTAAAGCATATAAAATAATGCTCTGATTTTTGTCTTAGTAATCTGTCTAGTTGCACAAGAAAAGCACTATGTAATTGTGAAGTTCACTTTGTCCTGATATTTGTGCTATTCTGCTGTGAACAAGTTTTACCCAGGAACCTTCCCGAGTATGCAATCAATGCTCGTTAGTCTCTGGACTACAGGTATCTTATGCCTTAGCATATGGTACCTCCCTGACCTTGAGCCCCCTCTCTTCTCTGAGGCTCAGACCTCTCTCAAAGCTGCCCTGGTAATCCACCCCATCTCCCAATCAATAACACAACCCTGCTGCACAGTTAAGAGGAGGTGCTCAACTCAAGTTTCTTACAAAAAAAGAATGAAGGCCTGTTATCAAACCCACATTATATATTCATTCATTTACTAGTATATTCATTCAATCATGTTTCCTAAGGACTGTGAATATACAAAGTATTCTCCTACATGATTCTGAGAGATACAAAGATGTATATACTAAAGAGTCCCCTGCCTCTAGAAGGTTACACTATAACAGGATGAGACATCAATAAAGGTCACCTGCAGAGGGGACCAATATGATGGTGATAACAGATAGCACTGCCTGTTCCCAGCAGTTTATCTTACTGAGCTCTCACGTCATATTGCTTGGCATGCAATTACCTACAGATGTTCATTATTTTCCAAGTACATTTTATACACTGATCTTTATCTTGCCACATTGTAAACTCTGTTACCCTGGATTTTGCGTTGTTCTACTGTGTTTCTGTCTAGATGGAAAAGTTCCATCCACATGGCTAAATAAGTTCCTATGTGTGCAATTCTTCCTATTTCCCCATAGTTTTGGACATCCAGATTGTACCTGCCAAATGTCAAGTCCTTCTAGGTTCCGCAGCTATGCTGAATCTGGCCACATGCTGGATTCTCATTAGGGAAAATAGTACCTCAACCAGCGGTTTGCAAACACTGTGGTTTCAAAACCCCTGTCAACACTTGAAAGTTATTGAGAAACCCTGGCACAATTTCTTTTTCACATGGATTCTTTAGTATTTACTATATTACAAATTAAAACTGAAAAAATGTTAAAACACTAATACACATACACATTCTTTTAGCTAGCACAGCCATGAGATCTTCGCTTACCAGGTAACTTCCGAGAAACTCCCCTGAGTACTTAGGAGATTGCAAGTCAAACAGCAAAGCTATGACAATTGTTTTGACTTCAAAAGACCCCCTAAAAAAGCCTCTGGAGTCCTTGGACCATATTTTGTGAACTATTGACCTAAGTCAGTGATTTTTCAACCTTTTTCATCTCATGGCACACATAAATTACTGACATTCTACATCACGCCAAAAGAAATACACTTTTTTTCCAATCTCACATTAAAAACAGGTATAATCATGATTCATTCACACCAAACAGCTATTGTTGTGTTGGCTGTTGTTATTTTATTATTTGACAATCTAAGGGAAAAGAGGTCGGCACCCCTGGCTAAACAGTTAGGTATTGCATGTTTTAAAAAATCTTGCGGCACACTGGTTGAAAATTGCTGACCTAAGTCATACCTGATTTCTAGCTATTCCTTGTCTTGGCACTTAGCAGTAATTATGTTCCAATTATGTACAATAATCGACAAACTACTAGAAAAATCTACCCAGAGAGTTGAACCTCCACTGAAACAAAAGCCTTACCACCAAGAAGTTATGGGATAGAAGAAAACAGACATGGGCATTTATACGCACAATCCCACCACTTTATCTAACAGGGTCTAAAGTATTTTTCACTAAAAGTTTTTACAAACTCTAAAAGGGTTTTAGAGTTGTTTATGTTCCATGATACATATCTGGAAATTGCTAATTCTATTAATGAATTAATTACAACATAATTCCACTACCACAAAACAAATGGAGGTTCTGTAGAATTTTTAGAGAAGTTTCCATTGAACTGTATGTTCTTTGGGATTCGTGGTTTCTTGCTGATACTAATGTTACTGTGCTCTCTACTTCACTCATCCTCAAGCTCCCTGAATGCCACTGGACAACTTTAAGCACAAACTGACTTTTGTACTCCTCTGGAGAAAAGAAAATGTTTGTATTACAGAAAGTGTACATAATTATTTCCATCTCAACTAGGCACTGCTTTTTCTGTTTTGATTTTGAAAGCTTGTGATTCAGTTTCACAAAGGGATATTATTTAGAATGAAGAAGAACATTAACAAAAAAAACCCTACCAAACCCAAAACATGTGACTTTGAATGCCTTCATTAATAAAGAGTAGTTTTGTACAGTTCTTAAGTATAAGCCCTTCAAAATTTTCAATATAGTACTTATGAAATTTATGACTAGTAATAGAATGTAAAGAAAAGGTATAAACTAAAGTAACTTCTGGAGAAAATGCATTAGAAATGCTCAGATCTTGGAGAGTTGACTATGTTTCACAGGAGCCTTATTCAAGTCATCCTTCAGAGCTGATATTGACTTGTTACCCTAAAAATGCTACTGCACACTTGGGGTACATTACTGTCCTTTGAGCATATCCAGAGTGGAAAAATTTGTAAACCCAAACAATAATATTTGCTCAGCTATTGGAGGAGATACAAAACTGCTTTCAGAAGAAATGCCGGCTTTGCCTACAGGTACTACTATACTATAGTGTATCTCCACAAAGATATAGGAACAGCCTTATTTCTGGAAAATGTGAGTTAGAGTCTTTCTATGGCATCAGTGACTTCATAATAGAACAGCAACTTTTCCATCTGCTCATCTGGTTTCTAAAACATACATACGTAACCAACTTTAATCAGCAATACAGAAAGTGAATAAAGATAATATTCCAAAACCTCATCAAAGTCTGTTACTTCAAAGTATATCTGCTATCCAGCTTCTGCTCAATGAATGGCTAACAGAAAGGGTAATTTAGGGAATACAGTAAAGGACTATGAATCCACTGCCTTCTTCTAGGTAATCTACTTTCCCAATTAGGCCAAAAGGGCACATTTGCCTTCTTCCGGGAGCATTTTACTTAAGTCATATTTTATACAGATGTACATCTGTTGTAAAGCTATTTTTGAGAGGTATCATCTATCTGATTCACTCAATATCTCTCACTGGAAGAAATTTCTTTCTGACTTCAATGTCCAGAGAAACTCTCTCTCCCTTAAAGAACTGGCATGCTTCCTGTTTCTGATGAGTGCCATGTTTTGCGCAGGCTACTAGAAATCACAGATAGAAATGAAAGGAATGAAATGAAATGTATTCGAGATTTCCAACAGGTATCTATGGGACGTGCAGTTAGAGAGATCCAATAGGCCTGGAACTCAGGAGAGAGATTGGGGGATCTATGAAATACTTGTAAATAGTAACAATGGCATTTATTGAGCAACTTCTGTATACAAGGCACTGTACAGGAAGCCTACATGCTTTTTATATACATTATACATGTAATCCCCAAAGATAATGCAGTGAAAAGATAAATGACAAGAGAAATAGCAATGTTTTTTGGTTCAAAAGAAAAGAGTGTTAGGTCATGTTCAATTAACAATGTCCCTAATAATGACTGAATTTTGAGGAAAGGGTGGATGTGATGTTGCTGAAACATGAACATCATATATCTGCCATCCTAGAACTAAACATTTTTACTCAAGTTAGTTCCACCCTACACACACTACAAGTCTAATTCTCTGTGATGCAAATAATTTATCTATAAGAGTAGGAAGTGGAAAAAGTAAACATTAGGTCAGATGGTCCAAGCCCAGTAAAATAATGTATATGCATACATTTTTTAAAATGAAATATGAAATATCAAGAGTACATGGTATATAGGGTTAAAGTTGTGGAATATAAAATTTTTGTTTTTTATACATGTATGTGATATAGGGTCATGACATAAAATGAATTTGTTATTCGGGGTCTTGGAGAAAAAAGTTTTGAAAGCTACTAAATAATGGGATCTGTAAGGTATCTTGGAATGCTAAAAAAAGTATCTATTTTTAAAAATTTAACTGTTTTTAACAAAAATATAATCTTTAACACTTAAAAGTAAAATTTAAATAATTTTTCAATAATCTAAAATTAAAAGTATAAAAAAATACAAATAGCTAACGAGATAATAATCCTATTTTTGAAATGTGAAGCACCCAAGAACTACTTTTTGTAATAAGATATACCTTGGATTTTCTATTTAAGTTACCAAGGAGTAGTGATTTCACTGTATGACATCAAAATGGTTTGTGATAAATAAAGCTTAAGCCAGAGCCAACAATGTATTTACATTTCCAGTCATCATATTTCTGAAAATATGCCTGGAATTTACATGTAAAACCTTCCAATAATATAGTGTGTTTTGTGTGTATTTGTGGTTGAGAGTGGAGGGGTGGATAATAAATATTCCAATGAACTCAAAATATTTTATCTTGGGAAAACCCAAACAAATGTTTTAATGTAAATATCTTTTCTGTTATTATAAAAGTCATTTGTTCATTATAAAGATTTTGGGAAACACCAAGTCATGTTAAAAAAGAAAATAAAAATCACCCATTATTCTATATCAAAATTACTTTACCTATATTTTAGAGTTAAAGAATATTAAGTGACTGGCAAAAACAGGTGTCCGAAACAGATTCTAAACTCCATGTGCATGTATTTAAGCACAATGTACAAATTTACTGTAAAACAGTCCAATTCATGAATTTTAACACAATTTTACATTCTGTGACTTTTCAATACCATTCTGAGGATGGCAAAGTAAGACATGATAAAATTCTTCTTCCATTTATCTAAGGCATTAAGATCTGTTCCAACTGAAAGACACAGGTTTTATGCCAGTTGATAAGTAAAGTGTAACGTCAAAGACAATATGTTCTCCAGAGCTTTTTAAGAAAAGCTTACTTAGACTATTAGCGAACAAAAATGGGGTTCGGCTGCCTGCCGTCACCACCAAAAGGCAAACTCTAGAGGCAAAGGCTGGTGAGAAAGGAAAGAGGTTTTTATTTGGATGCTGAATGGTTTGTGCAGATGGGGGGCTCCCCTCTCAAAGTTCATCTCTGCACACCCACACAAAACCCAGCATCCTTAGCAAGACCAAAACAAACAGCAGTACCCAGAGTTCCTGCTCCATTTTAAAGTACTGTACTTCTGAGCTCAGGGTGGCTGCTAAAGTTGACCACGAAGCGTAGCTTGTTCCCAGCTGCTGCCCAGCTGCAGGCTCCCTCCCAGAGGCTGCATGTGGAGCCAGAGCCACCACTGGCCATGCAGTTTCAGGCTCACAAGGTCCCGAGCTCCCCAGCCAGAGAACACAAGAATGTACTGGTGAATACTCTACCAGGTCAGCGAGAGAGACAGAGAGAGAGAGAGAGGGAGGGAGGGAGGGAGAGAGAGGGAGAGAGGGAGGGAGAGGGTGAAGGGAGAGGGAGAGGGTGAAGGGAGAGGGAGAGGGTGAAGGGAGAGGGAGAGGGAGAGGGTGTGGGAGAGGGAGAGGGAGAGGGAGGCCCTCCTAGAGGCCATGGGCCACATGACGGCTAAGTGACTGCTAAGTGACTCCTAACGTGGCCCATGGCAAGGACAGGCCACTGCATGTTACGAGTGCAGGCCCTGAGCCGCAAAGAATGAGCAAGAGAGTGTTTCTTCATTCCCCTAGATTTATTTTAGCTTTGGGTGTGGGACAGGCCAAGTGCTTTTTCAGAATGACCAATTAACTTCCTAAACTTCCATGCCCTGGGGTGGGTCCACCTTCCAATCAATCCCTTCTTTCCGCAGGCTCGACTGACAGGCCTTTGGCCCAGCACCTACCCCTGCCCACTTTAACTTCTACTGCACATGTGCCTGCCTTCTCCTAGCCCCACCCCCAATCTGGTACTGGAAGCCGTTAGGAGGGCTTTTCCCTTCTTATTAGCTTGCTAGCCTCACGCATGCTCAGTGTAAGAACTTCTTCCAGTGCCACCTTGCCTGGGGTGTGGGGGAGACTCCCTGGGGCTGTCAGCTCTGCACCTGCCATGCCCTGGTCCTGGTAAGGAGCGAGCTGCCCACACTCAGGGCCCACCAACAGAGCGCAACCAAACCAAAGGCCTAAGTGAAGGAACCCTGGGAGCCCCGATGGCCTTGCAGGCAGAGCGGAGGACAGTCTCAGCGGGAGGGACAGGGCGCCTGCAGCCAGGACCAGGACCTTCGCGCTAGGGGCAGAGGGTCCACAGGCAAAAGCTCAATTCAAGTCAGCCTCGCAGTCACACAGAAGTACTGGAAACTCAAGGTGCTTGCCGTGGCCCCAGGCAGCGTGCAAAGGCGTTACCTGGCCGCAGGCCACGCCCTCAGTGCCCCAGGAGTCTGGCTCGGTTCAGACGCGGCTCCCAGGTTCCTTTCCCATGGCCTAGCTCCCTCGCCCCCGGTGACCCCTCCTACGCCCTGCCCTACGCCCACCCCCAGCAGTTCTGGCCGGCTGTCTGTTGGTGTCAAGACCACCGCCACTCGGAGTGTGACTCAACGTCCAATATCTATGACAAGATTAATCTCAGAAAACGAGGGTGTTTAACACTTACTCAGCAATTTGGCATTGCCATAACATTTTAATTATATTTTACAAAAGTCATCAATTAGTCTGCAATGAACTAAAAAAATATTTTACTGGTCTTTGACCAAATCTTTTTTAAAAAAAACAATTTAGACAAAGTCACTTTACCAACTATTTATATCCCATTCACAGCAACGGTTTTAAAACAAGACGTTTAGTCCAGGAACTTGTTGAAACTCTTCTCTACCTAATGACATATTAATTTTCCTCCCATAGGCATTTTCACAGGTCCCTAGCCCCAACTATTATAACCTAGTAACTAACTAGGACACAGGTGTTAGTATCTCTCAGAGCTGGGAGAGACCCTAGAGAGAGGATCAGATCACTTATCCCAAGGAAAAGACCTGAAAGGCCCAGAGAGGTGAACCACTCTGACATCTTGCTTCAGTGCGCCTTCATCCTGCCGGTCCCTGCGCAGGTCACCCACTGAAGGCCGGAAGCGATCCACAGGTGCCGGGCCCCCACGGTTCTGCAGGACCTCTCTTCCCTCTCCTTCCAAGAGCCTCAGACAGTGCTTACCATCATAAAGAAGCTCAGTTGTTTAGCAAACATTTGCAACCATTGAACAAAGCATGTCTTTTGCTGAAAAGTGCATGTTTTACAAAATGGCACTGTTTCTACAAAAACCCAAGGTTTAATGAAATCTGCCAACAGAATTTATGATCTGTAAGTTCCTTTTCATCTAAGAAATATAATTATATAAAAAAAAAAACTCGATACAATTGTTTTTAAATTATTAGGAAGAGTTCCTGCTTCTACAAGTCAAATTTGCCTTTCCATCTTGAATTTTGAATTTACAGTCTCAAAATTTTAATTCCCAGATTATCATCATTACAGATATTGTGATGAATGCTCAGGATCAACACTCACTCTGCAATTTATATGGTTTATTTTTTAATAAAATCCAACACATGGTCAGTAAAAAAATATTCAACACTCACTCTGCAATTTATATGGTTATTTTTTAATAAAATCCAACACATGGTCAGTAAAAAAAATAGTCAAGGAAAATAAAAGAAAAACAGAACTATTTCAGTATTCTTACCTTGGACCCTGATAACATACTGGTCAACATTTTTGTTCCCCTTCCAATTCCAACCACTGCAAATCAAAGAAAGAAATATTATGACATTCTATTTTGCAAAGTAGGTTTTTAAAATATCTACATATTCTGGTCAGACTTTCCTGGCACCTGTACTGTAAAGTTGGAAAGAACACATACTTAGCATAATTTGAGTGTTCCCATTACTCCAATCGATTGAGCTTGTTATACAACTAAGAAATTCTGATGAGGAATGGGAGACTTTTTTTTTTTCTTCCCCAGAGTATAAAACATGATAGAAACCTCAACCTAGTCATTTAGATAATAAAAAGTTCTAGAAAAATCTTAAAGGATTCACTGGAATTTTATATAGGCATCAGTGAAAAATACATGGTACATTAACCATGGTCTGACAGTCTTTGTGACAGAGTTCATTATTAAACAAAGCAAAAGCTATCATCATAGCTAATGAACCATTTAAAGATGATTATCGCCCAGCAGTATACAATCAAGAAAGTAGAAATGGAACAAATCAACACAACACAAAGAAGACTACATGGTAAAGGAGAGCCTGGAAAATGTGCTCACACAGACCGTACACAAAGTACAATGGCCCACCTGTCTCTTCAATGGCAAACATTATTTAACCATATCAATGTCAAACATTATTTAACCATATGATAACACATTTCACCAGTTGAGGATGAGAGAATATAATCAGTTCTTCAATAAACAGTTAATTATTTTTAAGAATTGAAGTATTTTCTCATCAGTGGATACAATTTTGTAAAGGAACACAATGTAACCACCACCATTCAGAATTGCAAGAAGTGATTGGCAAGCTTAGTTACCATGAATATTTATAGCAGTTACCACTCACTGAGTTTACCATTTATCAAATTCCACTTTAAACATGTTTCATTCATTAGCTCATTTAATCCTTACAGCAACTCTAAAAGGTAATACAATTATCTCTGTTATATGGATAAGATAACTGAAACATAGACTGAGAACTTTGCCTAGCACCTCACAACTAGTATAAGGTGGAATTAAGATTTAAACCAGATTTAAACCAGCTTAAGAGCAGACCATTTCTTTTCCATCCCCCCACCTGCCATTTTCCTCATTTAGGCTTTCTTCCCACTGCCTGCCCCCAGCCCAAATCCACCTAAACCACAGCCAGCCAGGCTTCCCTATTTCTACACATTCCTCTACCAATTCACCACTTCTGAAAATGTGTACTGTACTCTACAAAGCACCCCTCCCCCAACAATTTTCAATAGGGTCCCAATGACTACAGCATCAACTCCTTCGTAAAGTATTCAAAGTGCACCCTTTGAAAGCTAGCTCAAATCTCAACGCCTTCAGTAAGTCCCTCCCAAACCCTCTCTGGGCTTCTATGATTAAAAGTCATATTAATTTAGGGGCTAAGATAAAACACAGTCCGCCTCCAGCGTGTTCTGTGGAGCACAGTGCTCTTCAAATGCTAGCCGCTACTGCTGGGGCAAACACTTGGTATAATAACGACAAAGGCTCAATGCAATTTTATTCCATTCAAGAATCCCCAATCATTATTCCTCGAGCAACGGCTATGCGCGCGGTCCCAAGAAGACTTCAAATGCAACAGCGCGCTGTCTGACTGTGAAGAAGCTTATGAACTCATACAGAAAACAAAATGCTCAAAAAAAAAAAAAAAATGTTGTCTGAAGTAATGCGTGAATAACACTAAATAACAATATGATAAATATATGATTAAGGGTCAAAATGAACAGAGAGAACAATGGCTGTAGGAGGTAAGGAGGCAGCACTATAAAAATCTGAAGAGGCCAGAGAGCACTTCACTCAAGCTTTCCAAGCGGTTTGAGTTTGGCCTTCGGGGAGGTACAGGATTCGAACACAGAGAAGAGGAGGCATGTTCTAAATGCACAAGCATGTTCTCAGAGGCAAGGACGAGCACAGCGGGTTCACCAATCAGAGTGCAGAGGCGGCTCAGAGCAGGATGACATGTGTCGCTTTGTCGTGGTTGAAATGCTGAACTAATTTCTCTGCCAGTTCGGTAGTCCAGAATAATAAACTTTAAAACAAGAGGGCAGCTTAGAGTGAGCCAGCTTAACCCTCTCATTTTATATCCAAGAAAACCAAGGCCCACTGAAGCGCGGCGATGAGTGAAAGCGGAATTTTAGGCAGACTAACACAGACGTGGCATGCAGAAAAATTATCTGGAGTTGAAACCTAGCCAACCAGCAGCTTTCATTCAAGGGGCAGTTCACTGGACAAAAATTTTACTCAACTTTTTCCCCATCGGTCAAAATTTAATTCAGTGCTGTAGGTGCAGAAATGAAGACGACCTGGTTTCAGCCCAGTGAGTTAACAAAAACAAAGAACAGAATGAACTTTTCCATTAGCAACATGAAAAGCAAGTAAGCAGGATTCACAAGTAGGAGACAGCATCTCAGCTGAGCCTGGAGAGGCCGGTGGGATTTCTACAATTAAAGAAGACAGAGATGAGAACTTTATCTGAAAAAATAGCATCGGCAAAGACGCAACAGTTTGAAAAAGTGTGGCAAATTAAGAGAATAAATAAATAATAGGGTTTTACAAGCACTGTCTCGCAATTATTGACTTCTGTCTCTGTCTCCCAAATTTTCTGTGCTCAAATATTTCTTTGTAAAAAAACAACAACAACAAAACACCACTATTTCCAAACTTGTCCAAATGGCCTAGTATTCTCTTCTTAAATAATAAAGATAGACTTTATATGTGACAAGGGCCACTTTAGGAAAGGCAAGGATATTACACATGTAATTCTACAGCTTTCTACAGTTGGAAGTTCCTACTACCATTTATCTAATTCAAAGAGGCCCTTGAAATCATCTGGAAAGATCTGTATTTTCCTCTTCTAAGAATTTATCTTAATAATCAAACAAAGAAAAAGTTTTATTCATAAAGATGGTCCTCACAAAAATCAGTCCTACTAACAAAATTCTAGTAACTTCAATGACTTCAAATAGGGAAATGGTTAAATAAATCGTATTTTACCCATAAGATGATACTTTACATTGCTACTGCTATTAAAAATAATGTTTACTTCCTTTTAGAACTGCTTTCACTTCATTCCCTAAGTTTGGTATGTTCTTCCATTTCATTTGCATTTTCTGATTTCTCTTTGATTTTTTCTTTGGCCCACTGGTTGTTTGGAAGTGTGCTGTATAATTTACACATATTCGTGAATTTTCCATCTCTCCTCCTTTACTGATTTCTAATTTCATATCATAGTGGTTGACGAAGATACCTGATATCATATCAACATTTTAAATATATACAACTATATTTGTCAAGTTTTTCCTTGATAAAGTAAAAAAATGTTTACAAGAAGTTTTAATTAACATGATAAAATGTTTATGTTATTATGTAAATAAAAAGGATACAAATGTACATACAGTAAAACAGCTCAACTTAAAAAATTTGCATAGATGAAACTAGGAGGAAATATGGCAAAACTGTTAATTATTATCACTAGAAGGTGAAAAATGAATAACTTTTATTTGCAACTTTGTTTTTTTTAATACTTCCTAATTTCTACACTGTGATTTTTATAATCTCTAAAGTTAAAAAAATAATAATTTTTAAGTGATATATAGAAGATTAGTTTCCAGGTTAACTGATTTATAATAAGTGGGTGTATTAGTTTACCAACTTAGAGATAAAACAACACAAACTTATCACCCTGCAGTTCTGGAGGTCAGCTGTCTGAGGTGGGTTTTATTATACTAAAAACTAATGTATCAGCAGATGTATCAGCAAAGTATCAGCATGGCTGCTTTCTTTCCGGGAGCCCAGGGGAGACCCTTTCTCTAGATCCTTCCTGGGGAGAGTCCTTGCCCCTTCCAGCTTCCAGAAGGCGCTCACATTTCTTGGCTTGTGACCCTCTTTCTTACTCAAAGCCAGTAAGCGAATCACTGCAACCTCTGCTCCCATTGCCACATCTCTCTCCTCTGCCTCCTCTTTCACTTTTAAAATGATAACAAAATAGAAACAGAGACATGGACAAGTGAAACAGACTGACAGCTGTCAGGGGGAGGCGGGGAGGAGGGACTGGGTGAAAGGCGGCGAAGGGATCAGCCCAAGAACACAGATGCATGACCCATGGCCACGGGCTACAGCGTGGGGATGGCCTGAGGGAAGGGTGGGTAGGAGGGCTGGACGGAGGCGGGCCAAGGGGAAAAGGGGGGACATCTATAGTAGTGTAAACAATAAAAATAAAGTTAAAAAAAACTATTCGTGGTTATATTGGGCCCACTTAGATATTTCAGGAGAATCTCTTATCTTACAGCACCATTGTATCTCCCTTTGTGATGCTGCCTAACATATTCTTAGATTCTGAGGGCTCCGATGTGGACAGCTTTAGGGGGTCATTATTCTGCCTACCACAGGGTTTTGCAAGCCCTCTTTACCGAAATATATATATATATATATATATATATATATATATATAAATAAATTATATATATATTTCTCTCTCTCTATATATGTATACACAAACCTGGATTTCAGGTTATGTCTTAAATTGTCAGCTAAATTCTTAAATTTGTACCATGAATATTACCAAAAAGAAACAGTCTAAAATGTCGAAAGTAAAAGTGTGTTTTGTCACACAGGTCTAGTTTTTATTTTTTTAAAAATGGCTTTTATAAAGTACTTCACAGGCCACAGCATATATCTCTACATTACAGATATCTCACGCTACTTCAATAAACCCTGTGAGTTATGGTAGATATTACCCTTTTTAAGGGATGAAGAAACCGACATTCACAGAAGTTATGGGAACAGTCCAGGGTGTGTGCAGTTAGTATACAAAGCTTCCAGTACACAAACTCATGCAAGATTAGAGCCCCAAAATCAACTTTTCTTAAAAGTCCCTAGAAAAACTTAGACAACAAATACTCTTTATGCTATGACTACATACCATTTTATTTGAACTTTATTTCTCATCAGAAACTTTATTCTTGATCAGTTTTAGAAGAAAAATAATAAATCTGACATTTGAACATGTATCACCATAAAAGTCCCTGTGTGCTCAAATATAAAATAAGCCTACAAATGAAAAATTATTTCTGATGCAACCACTTCCAAACATACGATTCTCAGCCAAACGTCCCCCTTCGTAATACTAAACTGGGAGCTTCGACAAGATCTCTAAGTTTTAGTGCTGAAGACAAACATTTCACCCACTGCCTTGAATACACTCCATACCAATGACTAATAACCACCAGAAATTAATGAAATTGGTCTGTTTACGAATAAGCAGCAGATCCTCCCCCCTCTCTTCTCGTACCTACAGTGCTGTGCCTTGGAAAATAGGAGGACAGAATGGCAATGGCAAACAAGCTGCAGCTCAAGGAGTTCTGAACTGATAGGGACAGTGAAGCCACGTCTAGGACCAACGGCAAAGAACGCTGTGACTGCCCGGTAACTCCTGCGAAGCGGGCGGGGAGAAGGGAACAAAGGCAGGTGTACCAGGCATCTGCCATCCCAGGTCAGGGCAATGGCTTTGGAACTGAGCCGTTCAAATCCTGACTTTGCCACTCACTAACCATGAAAATGCACGTTACTTTATCTCTGGGTCGTCATTTCTTTTGTAAAATGGGGCTAAGAAAACCTACCCTGTATGTTTACAATAAGGATTAAAGTATATAGTTTGTGAATGTCCTAAGTACAACGTACGTGTTTCACAAATGGCTATTATTAGTTGTGATAAAAAAAAGTAACATGAATGGTCAGAATTTGCCTATTCAAGTTCTCTAATTCAAGAAAATTGATTTCCTTGTATTTGCTTCTATTTTAACCTCCAAGTTAAGACATTTTTGCCAACATGAATTAAATAAAATCTGTAATATTAAAAATGCAAAGCCATACCTTGTTTGTAATTTCCCTGAAAAAATAACCCCCCACCAATGTTATCCATTCCTTCTAAATAAGCACTCATTTCGTTTAGATCACTTAGATTAGGTTTGTTGTTGTTTTGTTTGTTTGTATTTAAGTTCTGCTCTAAAAAAATGTATTGGATATTGTAGCACACTTAACAAATCCTGAGTCACCACACATTAGTGTATCATGAAATCAATTTGGTGGATTATGATCAGCATTTTTAAAGAATGAAATAGAATAAAGTATGAAACACCAGAGCATGTGAAAAAGGTAAGTATTGTTCCATAAAAGTTGTTTCTGGTGGGGAAGGGGGAGGGGAGGGGAATCCCTACGTACGTATTTCTGTGACAATGAATGTAGTCACAGAAAAGTGTGTAAACTATCTCTGGCTTGTTGATACACAGTTTAGCTGTCTATAAAGATAGACTTCAGGACCTCTATCTGATGCAAAAAAAAAAAAAAAAAAGGTGGAATAAAAAAGGATAAATGACTTTTCTCTCCTCAATCAATTCTACCAATTTTCCTCCACAAGCAATAAGATGCTCAACTAATATGTCTTCAAGAAAAAGTCACTTCCTCTCAGGGACTATAAGATTCACCTTCTCAAGAGAGCTGATCTCAGAGATCAGATTCTATATAGGCAAAAAAAAAAAAAAAAGGCGTCATATACCTGGTTCAGAGTCCCCAAGACCATTCCATGTTAGAAGGTTCATACATGGCAAAGGGTTACTACAGCGACAGTAAAGTTACACAGCTGTGTCCAAAGGGGAAAAGACACTGGAGAAATCCATGCACAGCCTTCCTTATTCTCTCTCTCTCATTATGGGGGCGGGGGGACCCCTGAGTATGCTCCTTTCTCCAACAATGGCAAACAGCAGTAACGCAGGCCATGTTCCTGCCCAAGGAAACCCAGCAGAAACTCAGCACCACCGGTTTTTACTGCGCGGAGATGAGAGTGATGGCCACTCAGGCACCCTCTGCTTGTGTGGGGGACAAGGGTGGGGATACTCCCCAAATCCAGCTTCCCAGTGGCCAGCCAAGGGCAAGCCTTGTTAGCAGACTTTCCAAAAGAAGCGATTTGGGGCCTGCTATGTTAACTCTCCTACACAGACAAGAACCCTTTCTCAAAGTCCTATCCATACGTGAAAGTGGCTATTTCTAATGGTCGTGTACACCTCATGCCAGTTAAGGGCTTCTTTAGAGGATGGCACTATAAAGCCAGTAGACCTGAAAGGTCCCAAGGCTGACTGAAAATGCCGTGGCTTTGTCTTATCTTTATCTCATCTGCTCTCAATCAGCATTTGTTTCTGATATTAAGTAACGGTGACCTGGAACGCCCATTCACACCTCTTACCCAGAACTCCTCGCGCTGCGCTGTCGAGGGTGCCTCCGTGCCCGATTTTCAAAGTCTGCTTTTTCCTCTTGGTCCATTCTGAAGAGGGCATTCCAGCTTCTGGGAGAGTGAGTGGGATGAAAAAGGAAATTACCAAGACCAAAGACGAATGCAGCAGGATCTTCATAAATGGGGGGGAGGGTGGGTGGAGTATTTAAAACAAATGAAAAGTACTATACAAGCTTAACATAGCTGGGTTATGACAACCATTACTAGTGAAGAACAGATTTAAAAATGCACAGCTACTCTCTAAATTGCAAAGAAATAGTATTCAAAAATGAGCCATCTAGAAACTAGAATTCATTTTCTTATCAGGAAAAAGTGATATTTAAAAAAAAAAAATGAATAAATGTCCAAGCCAACCCACAAAAATCTAGTAAACTGCTGGTAGTAGTGGGCTGGTAGATGGAGAATAATGGAAAGGAGGTAATTTTCATGTAGGCAGCTAGTTTTCAATGTCCTCAGTTTCATTTCTAAACATCTTTTGATTCCTAGAGTTCTTTGCCAGTATCCCCAGCTACTTAATGCTGGGAGTGCATCTCATACAGGGCTACTTCCAAAACCACTAAGTTCCCAAACTATCTGTATTCGTTGTCCTTCTCTCCTAATGAAAACTCCACACCAGCTTATGTGGGAAGTAGGCAACAGTCAAGTTCCCTCTTAACCTCCAAAGCATTTAGATTAAAAAAAAAAAAAATGCCAACATAAGCCTATCCCATATTCCCGTTTTAAAGGTAAACTGAAGCATTACCTAAAAGTGCTCTGGAAATCACAAAACACTCTGAGAGTAGGTAGCACTTGTTGTTATTATCATGGCATGTAAGACCATATTGAAAGAATATGGGCTACTGGACTTCAAATACGGAAGGAGAGGAGCAGGAACGCTGGTTTGACCCCAGCCCACCAAACCTTCCTTATCACTACTGGTATCAACACGTCAGAAGGCACAGCAAAAGGAAATGAGAGAGAGAATAGGGAGGGGGGAAAGGGGGAAAACAAAGCAGCAGTGGAAAAGCTAGATTAAGTGGCCCAAAAAAGCCCCTTCCTGGGTTGCTCAGCCTCGTCACGTAATTGCCACCGTCCTGAGACAGAAGCACAGTGCCTGAACTCAGTCCTAGTGTCGCTCTCGGAGTACGGGGACACCACCGCGCCCGGAAGGGCATGGCTGCTTTCACATAAACTTACAAGGCCCGACCGGGCCTTCCGACTTCTCTCCTTTCACTGGAAGCCCGCCATGGAGCTCTCATCCATGAGTTTATAGAAAACTTTCGGGGAACTCTTTGTCTTTTCAACTTGACATTCCTTGGACTAGGAAGGCCGGTAAATTTACCTCTTTCGAGTTCGAAGACATACTACCACCTCTACTTTAGTTCACCTCACTGGGGCCCTGCATGAATGAATATTCAGTAAGGTCTTTTCTAGTTATAAAATCCTGATGTTGCAGGCCTTGAAAGATTCAAACAAAGAAGAGCAGACATTTCAGTACGACGTGAATCGATGTAAGGCAAGGCAAGGACTGTTAATACAACGAGGCCATGACCACTGACTGTGGTTGTCGCACCTGCAGACATTAGAATGTGGTGCCCGGGAACCTATGTCTCTATGACCCTTCCGAGGCAATTATAACAGCCTGTCCGAAAGGCATTTGGGAAGGCGTGGTCTAGCTAATACAAATATAAAATAGGTCAACCATAAGCAATATAGGAATGCAGAGTAGCAATGACAATGTCTATATCTGAGTGAGTGGCTTCCAGAAGATGGCCCAGCAATGCCCTGAGACCACATTTTAACCAAGTTTCAAGAAGAAACTTTAGGTTTCGGAGGCAGATTAACCAGAGCCAGGATAAGGCTTTGATCCTATCAGAAACCTGTGCAAGACAAAGAACGGTAACCATTACCTTGAGGAACAAAAAAGCCTTCAGTTTAGCTAACAAGTCAAGCCAAATGAAAGCAGCGATTCTGCTGAAAGGAAACAAGTAGATGACACCACAAAACTTGCCCTTGGTGCAGCTCCTTCTTTTACTATCTCCTACACCACCCATGCCTACCGAGGGAAATTTAACAGAAGAATGAGTAGACATAAACCTGGAATTAAACATCTGCAGGAGTGTACCTATTGCCAATAAACATTTTAATCTGTATTGTGTTTTAATGAACAAATTCTTATCAGAATAATTTGGTTTCGCATTTTTTTTTTTTTTTAAAGTGCAGTTTGCCAAGGGATACTAAACAATGTAAGACAGTTCCTGCACTGGTTTAATGGAAAGATGGGCAGGGGCCAAACTCCAGAGGGCCTTACGTATCTAGCTAAATAGTTTAGCTAGAAAGTCACAGAAATGGCTGCAGAAAGTAGTAGACTACCAGCTCAGTTAAGGGATGAGACGGTGTTTTTCATCTTCACATCTCTATAGGCTAGGGCAGATCTGGTTTATTGTTAAGTGTCTAATACTAAGGTTCCTTGATGTCACTGTCTGAAATGATCTACTAGGCAAATGAACTGAGAGAATGAATCTTCAGGCTTTGCTAATACTCTTCCAGTGTATATGACAAAACCAACAAACAGAAAGAATGGTCTTAGAGACGTGACCAAGTTCTATACAGTGTTCCTCAAAATGTGGTCCACAGACTGACACCAGAATTCTCAGGAGCAATTGGGTAAAAATACAGTTTCCAAAAAATACCCCAGGCCCTTAGAATTACAATCTCTGGGAGTGCAAGGATTCGGAATATGCACTTGTACTAGGGACTCTGAGTAATTCTTATGCCTGCAATGTGAAAACCACTGTATTAAATCTTGGCTAACAAAGTCGTATCTGTATTTCCAGCATATTTTTAATGCAGCTTTGGGGGTACAGAGTCAGTGCTTCCTTTAGGTGGAGTTCATCTACGTGAGCCAAAGGGCTCCTCTAGGGTCAGATTACAAAAATATTGGTCTGCATGCTCAAGAGCTGAGGTTTATTTGCGTGTGCGTGGGTTCTGTTTTGTTTTGTTCCCCTGAGAGAGTCAGCTGCCAACTAGGCTAGAGGAGTTCACGTCAGGGCGAGTCCAAGCCCGAGATGCCCCCGATTTCTGTCCAGATCTAAGGCAGGGGTCCTTCGCCCTGTCCCTTCCTTTATCTCTTGAGCCATGAACGCACAAAAAGCCCAGGGTGCTCTCTGCGGCTTCCGCTCTCGCGGCGACCATCTCAGCCTGGTCCCCACCCGGGCTGCAGTACCTGCCAGCAGCTTCTCCTTCAGCCGATTCAGCAGCTCGGCTGAAGTGGGCCCTTTGGGCTTGTGCACGGCGAACACGCCGCTGAGGGACAGCAGCTTAGTAGCCAAAGCGGCCTTGGAGACCCTGGCCTCGGATCCGGTCCTGGCTGCGGCCGCGAGCGCCGCGGCTGCAGCCGTCGCTGGCGAGGCGGCGGCCGTTGCTGCAGCCGTTCCTGCACTCTCAGGGACTGGGGCTGTGTCTGCTGCCAGAGACGACGACGACACCACCGCCGCCGCCTCTGCAGCTGCCATGCTTTTGTAACCCAAAACGGTTTTGTTTCTGGAGTTGCACGCTGATGACGCAACAAAGAATGCGCCCGACATCCCAGCTTTCCCAGACTTCGAAGCTGTGCTGCTGGAGAGATGGTCGCAAGGGCTTGTGGGAATTGTAGTCCATGGCCTCCGCTGGCCGACAGGTGGCTGTGCCTTCCGAGGGCTCTGATAGAGGAGATGGTTTTTCTCCTGTAAGCCCATTTGCTTAGAATTTCAAATCCTAAGCTGCCGAACCGGAACACTAAGTCTGTATTTTCGGCGAGAAGTCTCTTCACTTCCCACCTGCCCGCCGTCCTTACAGAACTAACAAGACCCAGCATCCAAAAATAGAAAACTTACAATTCTGACTTCTGCTGCAGGTTGTGAAGAGCAACGGATCCCTTGCTTCATTCAATTTATTGTGCTTTTGGATTCACGATGCAGAATTAAAATACACCTGCATATTAGCTCTATTTACCTTGTTCACTGCTGTGTTGTCTGCCAGTGCCCCACATGTAGTGGGCACTTAAATAACTATTTGGAAATGAATGCATGGATCCTAGTTCTTCAAATTCCCGAAAACTTCGAGGCCCAGGTAATGCTAAGTCACGTGGGCTTATTTTGCTGCCACTCAAGCACACCATCCACCCTCCCTCCAACCACGACAAACCACGTGTAATTCTTAATCATTCCAAGATTTTTAATTCTAATTCTTCTGGGGATTTCATCCCTTAGTAACACATTGCTTAGTATCAAAAGGCATTATTGCAATGCATAAAATTAAACTTTACTTTCTATTTGAGGCCTCTCTAGAAGATATTCACTCCCCAAGAAAATTCAAGAACATTGTTCTGATCCTGGCACGAAGTAAAGTGGAGAAAAATTCTTCATTTTACTTCGCTCCAGATGCATTAAATCATATTATGACTATTATCAAGCAGATTGTTTGCCTTCATTGTTTTCCCAAATTTCTTTACAGCTATGCTTCCTCCTCCTCATCCTTTCACACATTGGTATCTACTGTCCTAATGATGCCTCTTAGCTGCTCAGATTCACCAATTAGGGGACTCCATTTGACGTCCAACAAATACATGAAAGAACAGCATTTTAAAGACAGTGTTTATTTCTTCCTATATTTTCATCATTCCCCATTTCAATCAGATCACCAGATTTTGGGGGCGCACAACAATGCAAATGGTCTTAAATCCTCAGAACTGTGTGCTTATAAATAGTGAAAATGGGAAATTTTATGTTATGCATATTGTACCACAAAAAGAAAGGCTGAAAAAAACTTTGGGAAGTTTTTGCAGGGTGGAAAGCTGAAATTTTTAAAAGGAAGTCACTTACTCTTGTAGTCTATTATAAAAGCCTAAGCTAAGGGAAAACATTTTGCATGGGCGCAGGGGCGGGAGGGGTGGCTGGTGCCCTGGAGTCCAGAAGAGGAGAGAATAAGGAGACAGAAACGGAAGGACTGACAAATCCCAAGGCTAGTAGATACCTGAACCTACTTACTTTACGATTTTCCGGGAAGGTAGCATGACTTCAGATGGGATGGCTGTACCCTAGGGAGCAAAGCATCCTTTAGCTTCAGCAAAGGCTTCTGTACTCTCCTCATGGTGTAGAAGCAGAGAGCCAGGGACTGTGAGAGAACGTTTAAAGCAGGTTTGAGCAATGATGACTCGGGTATTAGAGAGTCTTTACCAGGTGTCTGAACATCAGTAAGCTTCCTTAATTCCATCATGACTCGGGGCGGGGAGATGGGGGGATGGCGGGTGAGGGAGGGCAGAACGAAGCGTGCAAAATAATGCTTCCATTTGAATCTTCCACAAGCCCAGTGCAGAATCAGAGTTAATTTGATTAAAAGAAAACAGAGAAATGGGTATTTCTTGCACATTTCATTCCTGGAATGCTAGGGAACAGTAAAATTAATTCTACTCTCCAGTCAAGTCTGTATTCTTGGCACTGAAGCACCAACCTCTAATTATCTGAAGTAACCGACATCTCCTATGTTGGACAAGTCTTGAATTTACAGGTTCTCTTGATTAACATGTGTACAAGTTAGGATTCTTTGGTTGGGAGTGACAATTTGATTCATACCAGCTTCGGATTTTATCAAGAGGATATTTTAAAATGATTTATCAGAAGAATATTGGGAAATTATGAAGAACCAGGGAGTTCTCTCCTGTTCTCTCTTTCTCCACCCACATTCTCCTTTTATGCTCCCCTCTTATCACTTATTCCTTCTTCTTTTTTGATTATAGCAGGCTTTTTTTTTCTTCCCCTCATTCCACATTCTTGATGTAAGCCACCCTGTTTTGATCCAATTCCAAAAATATTCAGGGTGAAGTCACTCCTGGTCACCTACGAAACATAGTGTTTCATTCATTTTATTTCTTGACCACAGCAGTTTCCTCGCTTGCTTTCTTGCTTAATTTTTCTTGATAGCACATTTCATCTGACATACCACATACTTACTTATTTTGTTTAATGTCTTACTTCCCCCTTCAGAATGTAAACTCCGTGAAGAATTGTTGTATGTTTATCCATTGCCTGGAATAGTGTCTGATATAGCACTCAATAAATAGTTGTTGAATAAATAAATGAATTAACATAGTAGCTCCAGCATAAACCATGTCGGTACAGGGGATTTGGTGCCAGTTCCTGGAAAGGTAGAGCACTGAACACATAAAATAAAAGCTGTATATTCCAAGCGAAACTTACTTCATGTGGCCTCAAATGCTTTTATCTCCATTTTATATGTTTGGAACTGAAGCAAAGAGAGAATAAGATTACCTAATGTCATATAATAAAATTGCAACTTCCTAGGCCAATTTCCATGCTGTCCTTGGCTACCCATGTGCTCCCAACCAGACCCAAAAATTGATAGGAGTTTCAGGCTTTATTCCAAATTTGCCACTGGCTCTTCCATGGTTGCGTTGCTGAGGCACTTGTCAGACCTTGCCATATGCATGTACGCTTGGGGAAGTGATGCTTTACAACTTCTCCAGTTGTTGCTCATCTGTGGAGTTTCCTACAGATGGTAGAATCATTGAAAACAGTGATTTATGAGAACTTACAGACCACATAGTCCTGATCCCTCATTTTAAAACTGAGGCACACAAAAAGGTGTTTCTTATAAAAAGAGATTGTTAGGGGTGCTCAATCTATTCCATGGACTTAAAAAGGCATGTGTTGTTTTGTTTTTAGTTCAGAGAAAAGATGGGCATGTTTCAGTGTGTGAAATTTGAGAGGGCTGGAAAACTTAAAAAAAAATTGCTGCCATTGTGAATTATCTTAACAGGGAAGGTAATTAAAGAAACCAGTGGTTGGATGCATATGGAGCTTTGCTGTGAGCTTATATTTCTAATGGAAAGATGTTATGGTTTTCATAGAGGTGGACTTCTATTAAAGTTTTCTTTCTAAGGTATAAATATTTTTAATGTTTCATTTTGACTATACATTTATTGTGTAAATAGGAAAAATGGTAGCAAGGAAATAAATTTTTTTAATTGAGCAAAGAATGTTTTTAAAGGAAGTGTAGATCATAAAACACTGATACTAGAAAGTATCACAAATATGTAGGAATAAGGCCAGAAAAGCTAAAGTCCAAATGCTCTGGGAATAGGAAAAATATCCCAGAGACAGTAAAAGAAAATAAAAAGGAACTGTTAAAGAAGATCAAGAAAGAGATCGGTTTACTGTTTGAGGCCAGTAGGATGGCAAAGCCCAAGCAAAGCGCCGACTTTGCCTGACTTCTCTATCAAGGAGAATGATTTGGGGATGAAAATGGGACCAGGAAAACATTGATAAGAGGAGAATGATGTCCATGAGGGGTGAAAATATTGGACTAATTGAGGTTAGATCTCCTAGTTCAAAAAATTGTATCTTGTGGTATCAGGAGAGGGGAGGTATAAGAACTCACAAAAAGGATTGCTTAAGGGAACACTTTTGTTGAACATACTCATATTTTTGCTGTGTGCTGGCACTTTACACTTTCCTAGAACTCCTATAGTAACTCTCAAGTTATGCTTGTGGATAAAATGCAGTGCAGACTGGGTACCAGGACTCACAGCTGCCCATAAGGCAGCTATTATCCTTACTTATTTTCATTATCGTCATCCCCGCCTGCATTTACCGATGAGCAAAGTGAAACTAAAGGAGGAGAGGTCGCTTCACCACGCACAGTGAGTGGATGGGCGGGGGTCTCCAAGACCAGCCTCAGACTAGACGCTCTAGAAGGACTCACAGGATTCAGAAAAGCTGTAATACTCATGGGTACAGTTCATTACAGTAAAAGAGTACAGGGAAAAGGTACCGCGATGAAGGTGCCCGGAGAAATCGGACCCGAGCTTCCAGTTATCCTCTCTTAGTGGAGTCACAAGGACAGCGCTGTTTTTCCTTGTAATGAAATGTGACAGTATGTGTGAAGGGAAGTTCCCCTGATCCTGGATGGGCAGGGGTTTTACTGGAGATCAGTCGTGTAGGCGTACAGCTCCGAGGTGACAAACCTGCTCAGCCTCCAGCCCCCCAGACTTCAAGCCGATACCATGTGGCCCAGCGCATCAAGCATATAAAAACAGATGTTTACCATAAGTCATCTCATTAGTATAAACTATCTCCTCTAATTCATACAGTGTAGCCGAGGCCTCAGACATTCTTAGCAGGCAGGATATGCCTAGGGTTCAGAGGTTATCTCCCAGGAATCAGTCAAGGGCTAGTCTTCTCCCTGGAATGTGCAGAATTAGCACAATAACTGATCTAACCCACATGTAACTCATCCAACAACCCTAAGAGTATTATTGGCATGTAAAGATGAGGAAGTTGCAGCTTAAAAAGAATAAGCAACTTGTTGCATGTCCAACATAAGAGACAGTTAGATTTAGTAGAATCCAGGTTTGCCTGGCTCCAAAGTCTATAAACTCAACCAGTACTCAGTAACCACTAACGAATACAGGGAGACTAGAGAGCAAAGTTGAATTTAAATGAATTTTTATAGAATT